TTTGGCCAGCATAAGGATATTTCTCACAATTTTTGCCGCTTATAGATGATGTCCAGTTGGAAATGAGTAAATTTCGGCCTTATTGGTCTGTTCGCTTTGCCCAGTCCCCTGTGACGTTTGACGTTTTCAATTCTGACGGTCATGACAGTGAATGATTTCGTACACAGAAAAATGTTACGCAATATATCAGACAATTTAAATAATATTAAAATCTAGTGGACTAATCGGTAAGTAAAGTGACATTTATAATTTAAGTTTATTTTATTAATATCTTGCCAAGACCAATTGTACGATTTTCAAATATCTAAGTCTCATCAGTACAAACGAAACAAAATTGGAGGTTAGGACCGGCATTTTCTTGCTTATACGATCTTACAAATTTAATCCTCTTAAACGCTCTATCCTTGGTTGATTTTTCATCCAGTTACAGTCTTTTTCTTGAAATAAACTACATAACGATCAATTGTAAAAGTTAAATAAACAACACGTTTTAAAATTGTTTTTCCGTTTTTTATATGACATATCCATATAGCTATTAGATAATATAGTGGTCCTACTACTACTACGGTAAAAAGTGATGCGCCGCAGGTGGCTATGATATTCTCGTGAGCATGCGTCACCTCCAAATAACTGAGTTGCCACATTGCCGTAATTTTTCTGAAAAAATTTGACTAATTTTCATAAGAACGCAAATCAGTCTCTGAAATCCGAACATAATTGGCAACGCCGGATACTAACAGTCTGTGCAATTGTTGTTTACATTTTTGATGCTCATGATTCTCTCCGTATTTTTTCGTGTTTATATATATATATATATATATATATATATATATATATATATATATATATATATATATATATATATATATATATATATATATATATATATATATATATATATATATATATATATATATATATATATATATATATATATTACACGCCGATCAGTTTCGTTTCCCATTTCCGAGATTTTACTGCATGGGTTTGGCCGTCATCAGATGTTTTCGGAGATGTTTCCCACGCCTTGAATTGTGACGTTTGTTAATTCTGACGGTCATGTGTAATGTCATGTCATGTGTGAATGTATTCGTGTTGTTTTGCGAAAATGTGTCCAAAAACTAAGGGTCGTAGAAAAAGTATAGTATGCAATACGTTCGGTAAACTTTTGAAGTCACCTGTATAATATACTATTTCGGCACTCGCTGTCTAGCTTAATAGAATAAATTATATCCGGTCTGACATTTTCGAGGTTTTTTCATTTGATTGATGCTCCATAAACACCGTACATAATGGTAGGTACGCTCCAGTTAATATTTGATAATGTTTATTTCAGCAGATAAAGGGTTTCCACTCATACTATGGCAATTACTTACTTACGGAAAACCAACGACTTGTGCACGTTAGCTTTACAAAATTAACCCATATTTTAGTTTATTATTTCAATGACCGTCTCTTCTAGGTCTAGGTTTAGAAGAACAACTTCAGGAGTTTTGTGAATCTCCACCAATTGACATGCTGTTTATTTTAAGTTTAGTTTTGGTTATGCGCCGCTTTTGGTATCAAACAATGAGTCGGAGACATGCAGGATCCTTATTTGAATCTCTAGTGAACGTGAATAATTTTGATATTGCCTAGAATTTCTTTGTTTTGCTTTTAATGTTTTTACAGAGCTCCCAGGCCGCTCTGCCTTTACTTTTGCCTTTTCTACTCATTTTCCAAGAGTTTTGGTTTTAAAGATTCGAGTAAAGGGACTGGAGTATTGCTTAATTTTGTAATACTCAACAGTGGTATAACGTCGAAATGAGTATTGAGCTCCATGGTATTGGTATTGATGTTGATATTACTTTGGTGCATTTTCTGTCTTTATAATAATAATGAGGATCAAAAATATTAAAATCCGATTAATAACTTGAAATAATTTTAAATTTTGCGATTTTTTCTCTTTACACTTTTTTGCTCCATATACTAAAACAACACAAAAATACAATCTCTAACAAAATTTGTTTCTAACTTTTCCCAAACGCGATTACCAGACGAAATTTAAAAAAGGTATTTTATACCTGCATAAGGACTCCCCCATCCTCCGTTTGAAAATTTCAACAAGATTCAAGTTTATTGCTTTCGCCTTTTTCTCCTTACATAAATTAAATTTTTAATTTCGTCGCGAAACTTTTCTCATTACGTATTAATAGAAATATCTATTAAAGTAAGAAACTCTTACGAGAATAACGTTCCAACAATTTCGAAGTTAAAATCAATTTCGTAAATGGAAATGGTTTTATTTCCTTTTAATTTGCTCCATAACTTCCTCCTGGAACTTAAGGGTTCCTCGTTTCGCTCGTTCACTTTTTTGCATTAGAGTGGGAAATGGTGACCTTCAACTCTGTTAAAAAAAGGAGTTTGTTTTGCTCGTTCTAACCTAATAAAAGCTCAATGGATACATGATATATTGTCCCATTTATACTAGCGTATCTATGATTTAAGATGCTTAAGATAAACTTAACTTTAACCTTATCAAGATTTCCACTTTGTAATTGTTTCAATCAAGCAGCACACTATTCACAATGTTCTCCATTAAAGTTTTTCATAAAACAATAAATTTAGCTATCATCTTTCACTGTGAGCTTTAGTGCTTTTGGACGATCCCGTAGTTATTTCTATGTGAATTCATTTATGAAAGCATAATAACAATTTAAAAAAATGTTAATAGATAATTGTTTTCTTGCTCTCATTGCTAACTGTGTGAGATGGGTGATAAGCCGAGTATCAAATGCGTTTTTTGAGAAAGCCACAACTGTTGCCAAAATTATCAAAAATAAAAAACAGTATTTACTCTCTACTGTAAAATACCCAATTACGCCATAATTAAAGTGTGAGCAGAGTACCACATTGAGCCTACGCTATGTTTCTTAATGCGAGAGAGTTATAAATCATAATTAAACTGTAACAAAGTGGTTTCAGCCTTTTTCCATAGGTGTAGTATTGTACCTATGATGATTTTCAAGGGTCCCGAGAGTGGGAGGTAGGCGGACAGTAGTTTGACTTACCTATGCTTTAGTATTTAAAATTAGAATTATAGTTACTTTTCAGCAGTTGTTAGCAAAGTTCGTTCTTGAAAATGGCTAGTATTTCCAAAAAAGTACAGACAGAAATGAAACTGTAATAAATAAGGATGAAAATATACCTCTTTGTGCGAAATTTATTGTCGATAAAGTAACAGCAAAACAGTGCTTCGCCTTCCGCCATATCATATACAGTGTTTGTAGCAAGATATAACAACACATTCAAAACGAGGGACGTTGAAATAAGTCGCAAGCTAACTGTGGACTCCAACACATATAGTGTATCTGACTATTCGGAACATAATGATTAAAATTTACAAGTCATGTCAATTTACATTTCATTACTCTTTTGCATTAAGAAATGGAATATAGCTTCCTTAATCAGATTTTAATCACAATTTCTTTTTTTAGTAATTGAATATTTTCGATAAATTTCTATTTGTGGCACCTTTAATTGAATAAAAAAGCAGCCTAGAGCCACGAAAGTCACAACAAGTTAGCTTTGTTAATGCGTCCCGTAAAACCATGTCAAAAACGGGATATACTGTACATATTATTGGACACCCTACATTTTGATTAAACATTCTACAAAAAATGACATTGTAGTTAACTACCGTCCGATTAAATAGTCAAGATCTTTCATTTTCTCCTCTTTAATGACATTCTGGACTGCTTATAGCCAGTTCTCTAGGGTCACATTAATGATCTGACGAAACAATAAATACATTACAGTTAAATACGTTCCTGACTCCATCTCAAGAACAATTTTTTAATAGGACATTGCGTTCAATCGTTTCCTGTATAAAAAATACAGAACCAGGTTACATCAAGCCTTTGAAAGTAGAACAGGCAAAATCTTCAAAAAATACCAATCAGGCAACAAAAAAAGTGTGATTCCACTACAAAAATACGCAAGAGATCATCCAAAATCCAAACAATTAAAATTAATGTTCAAAATAAGTGTTCAAAGTATAGAACTCAAATTTTTGATAATCAAACCTTTTTAACATTTCTACGAAGCCGTTGTGCAAAGGCTTGAAATAATCCTTGCTTTGTTTGGTGACAGAACTCACCAAACGTTATGACATTTTTCACATATCTATAAAAGCATTGTTGAACAGGTTGAATTCAACCCTGAAGTTATCCATTTCAAATTGTAGTAATATCTGAAATAAAATCGCCATGGATTTGTTTGTTTAGTTCCAAGGAAATTTCTATCCTTATTCAGGTAAATTGATTTAACTCATTTATAGTATTTTATAACTAAGTCCATTTTTTAGGGTAAACTTATAAAATTTGAATATTCTTAGTGTTTTACTTTGGCCTTAAACTTACTATCATCATTAAAATTAGACCGGTTTTGATTTAGAAAAAAAAAACATTCATGCCGTTTTGACTTCCTTAACATACTGAATATTCTTCTTTCGAACAATACTCAAACTGGCTTTACGGAAGCCCGGTCGATTCTCAAGAAAGTTTAATTAAAGAAAAAGGTTTTTTATACCTTTTTACGCTTCGACCCCACGGCTCATGGTTCACGAATCAGTGAAGCAAAGATTTGTTTTACTTATTTTCGTTTCTCGTGAAAAAGAAAATAAATTCAGAAAGTTTTTATATTCCGAACATTACTTCCAAATCTAGACTTAATTTTGCAAATTAGGTAAAAAATGCTAATTAAAAAAAAGGGGGCGATAACGATAATTTTATTTTTTCACAAATAACATCAGATTCTATTAAAAACCCAGCTGCTATTTGTTAATTAAATGTTGCATATATGCCCATATTCTTTTCACAAAACCTGTAATAGTTTTCAAGAAGTTTTGAATAAAACAGTTCTTTGTATTCATTGGAATTTTTGCAGGAAGGGAATACATTTTATCAAATTAAAATACCCCGTTCAAGAGATAACTTAGTGAATGATATTTTTGTTTCTAGTACCACCGCACCAACTTCTCTTATACGATAGTTCGGGACGGGACGTCTCTGGAGTTATCGGTCCATTAGAAGAAGGGGCGGATTTGATATTAACCTGCGAAGTAAGAGGAGGTAAGTCTAATTCTAATTTAGGTATAGGCGAAATTTGATGCGTTGTCGCCATTTTACGCGGAAATACAGCTGGAAAACAAAATACCTAATCCTTTAAATTCTATTTCGATATAATATTGTGTAATGTACTCTTTACAAACTGCTGAAATTTCGCCAATCATCCTATTGCCTTCTTCAGAGCTTAAATGAAACGGGTTCGCATTTTGCTCTGTCCTGCTTATATACTGCTTGGGAGAGGCGAAACGAAAGGAGTGACATGAACTTTGTCTCGCATGACTGATTCCCATAATGGTGAAACGTAAAAACCTAAGTCGCGGTTAAGATTGTTTGGTTGTTTAGATAATTATAGTTTGGTCGCTTTCATGATTTTGTCGACAACTTGATATTTTTATGCCACGTATCTCCAATATAGTCTTTTCCGCATATTCATGGAATGCTCAATACTTCTGACCTTTCAAACGAAATTTTATCTTTGATGGATCCAATATATTGTGAGATTTTTGGAGAAGTGGTAATTCTGGTTTTAACGTTATATTTCATAAGAATATATGTGGTCAGTAGTGGAATATGTGGTCAGTAGTATTCTGGTTGTAGGGATAGACAAGCGTGTGGGGAAGCATTCGGACTCATTTCCGTTGGGAGGTTTCTGTGATAATCTAGGTATACTTCTTCTGCATTTCTCACGGAATTCTAAATGAAAGAGACATAAAGACTTGATCGCTCTTGGATAGAAGAATGTGCTAGATGTAAGTATCTTGGGCGTATCGACTAAAATCTGGTGTCCTGCGTTCAGATATTGCTGATATCGTTATTAGCCGTTACTTATTTGAAGGACTTCTTTGCTACAGGTGCACTGCATTTTTATCTTTTACCACCCATTCTAGATTTCAGGACATGTAGAGAATTGAGTTTTGATATCCTGTTATTCAGAATTTTTTATTCGATCGGTGAGATTTTGAATGTACTGGAATGCTACAGCGGCAAACTAAGGGTGAATGACAGAATTAATTTGTGTAAGGGGTTCTGGTGAAGTGTATTTTTTGATATTACCTAAATTACCTAAACTCTAGACACCCAAGCATCAATTTCGCTAACTTTCTCCTCTCGTCGCAAATATTCTTATGGAACGTTTTGAAAAACTAGCCATGGAAAATATCCATCTAAAACCGAAACTGGGGAAAATATATGTAGATTATGTTTATGTTTTTTGCCAACAGGGTTCGGATCTCTACAATCCGTTCTGAATTGACTAAACTTCATACATCCAATCACAAACCACATCAATTTCACTATCAAATTAGAAAATAACAGCACTCGTCCCTTTCTAGACATTCTTATTCTTCTAAAACCAAACTTAATCTTAAGCCATATAAAAGCAACTCGTACTGATCCACATCATCATCCAGCCCAAAATCTTCCCCAAATAATCGGCACTATCGGACAGCTCACCGAACTAACCAAACCTAACTACGTGAAGTCTTTAGTCTCCGAGAGTGTCTTTCTAAAGCCTTATCTTATATTTTATATAAACTAAGCAAAAACAAATTATATTCAAAAAATTCTACTTACAAGAAACAAATACTATTTTCTTGGTCCATAGACCGAGCCCTCGTTGTAGATTTAATTAATTTATATTTTCATTTGCATTCAAGAGCTAATTATTTTTTTCTACTCCCGTCTGTAAAACACCTAATTACGCACCGATCTAGCGTGCGGAAAGCGTCGCTTTACCACGTCAGTTTCGTTTCCCACGAATCCGAGCCACTTCGAACATTTCCGTGATTTTACCGCACGGGTTTGGGAGCAATCGGATGTTTTCGGAGATATTTCCCACGCTTTGAATTTTGACGTTTGTCTATTCTGACAGTCATGTCAGTGAATGTATTCGTGATTTTCGAAAATGTACCCAAAAACTAACGGTCGTAGAAAAAGTATGCAACACGTTCGGTAAACTTTTTAACTCACTTGTTTAATAAACATGCGATCCGCTCGTGTCAAATAAACTCGTGAATAAAATGCCGTATACCGCACTTGTTGCATAATATACTATTATGACATAACTCATAAATGCGTAAAGAAGTGGAGTTATATTTCTTCCCTCACTATGGGACCACTTCTTTAAATTCTTTTAATTGAATTTTAATTTTTCTTATGATGTTATTCAATATTTGTTTTTATAATCTGAAAACCAATAATAATAAACTGCCGTAGAAAAACTTTCACCAGAGAAATTTCATTTTTCTACTCCCTTCTGTAAAATACCTAACTATACATCGATCTAGCGTGCGGGAAGAGTTATTTTACCACGTGAGTTTGGGAGCAATCCGATGATTTTGGAGATTTTGCCGCACAGCTTAAATTTGGACGTTTGTTAATTTTGACGGTCATGTTAGTGAACGTATTCTTGTTTTGCAAAAATATACCAAAAAACTAACAGTCAACACGTTTGGTAAAGTTTTTAAGTCACTCGCGCTCCGCTCGTGAAAAATAAACTCGTGACTCAAATGCTGTTTACCACACTTGTTGCATAATATACTGTTTATAGGAGTTGGCAAAAGTTTATTTTGTTGCGGTTGGCGACAGCAAAAATGAAGTGTTAAATATATCTTTATATTTTAAGAATTTGCTGAGATGGTAATGAAATAGAAAGTTGCAGACCTAATAATTAAAAGTGCAATACCAATCGGCTCATAAATCAAAATGACACGTACTCCATCGCGACCATTTCATAGTACTTCTTCTCTATATCGGTGGCTGCATAATCTTCTCCTCGCGGTATTAAATTAGAGCGTAATTTTAACAGCTGTGTCTCTCCAAAACTCGTCCGCTGTCTTTATCGTTCCCTAATTTGCATTTCCAGATTTAATTAGTTTAATTTTATTTCTTCTGTAGGACACATTTTGCTTAATCTAATCTCTGTGCGCGTAATCGGTTAGCGAATGTACTTGCCCTAGGAGAAATGCCACTGATTGTGGTAACTGATATTAATTGATAAATTCAGTTATTAAATAGCGTAATAAAGTACGGGTTCATTGCATATTTACGGTGTTGAAGAGGAATTCATGATTGAAAAATAATAATAATACAATGAGTTTTGCCACAAGTGCATTTGAGTCACGAGTTTATTAACGATTTAATAAACGAGGGACTTAAAAACTTTACCAAACATATTGTGTACTATACTTTTCTACGACCATTAGTTTTTGGGTACATTTTTGCAAAACTCCAAGAATGCATTCACTGACATGACTGTCGGAATTAACAAAGGTCAAAATTAAAACCGTGGGTAATATTTTCGAAAACATCTGATTCTTATCTTCTTCGTTATGTGTGAAATCTTGCTTGAATTTACTTCATTCGAGAAGACTTAGTCTTAGTCTTAGTTATGACTACCGAAAACTAAATTGCTGCATACGACTGCCACGGTACAGAGGAAGGACAATTCTGAGCAGACAATACAAAAAAGTCAGTCTATACCAGCCTGTACGGAAAGTCTTGTAGAAGATTTCCCTATTTCAAAAAAACTCTTTTTTTCTAAATACCAATTTATTCGATGAACTATGAATCGAGTTTACTAGCATGTTTATAATATTGCAATATATCAGTTAACGGATTGCAATCAAAACGATCGTTTGTTCACAAATAATGTATATATAACTTATAAGACTTATGAACTATGTTTTATGAAAGCATAAAATGTATATGCAGAGAAATTCATAGTAAAATAGCCTTATGCACTATGCAGAGTTGTTGAATAAACTTTCCATAACTAATTACATTTGAAATGGAGACGACAAGCAGACAAAGTAAGTCGTTTGAATGTATTGATGATCGATTAATACAAAAATGGAAAATGATATTGTTAAATGATGAGTTTTATATTTGTTACCGATGATTTTATAAATGTTTCTTGTTATTTGCATAAGTAATCTATAAGATTGTATTTAAAAACTTCGTATGGAGTATTAACTTGATAATTTTACTAACTGTAACTCATCGTGCGTCGGGATTTGAAACTTGGTTAAAATAGTAATAAGTAAGCAATAAGTATTAGTAATATATCCAAGACGAAATCCGACGGAAAAGAGGCTGATTACATTCAAACCCTAACTATATCTTCATTCTACTGGACGAAACGTATTTCCTTTAATCTGCAACGTCTCAAGTACCAGATTAAGTCGTTTAAGTTAGTGCCCTATAATGTACCCTTATAAAATGCAGGTGGCTAGCGGAAGTTTTGATTGCAAAAATTTAATTAAGTAAACAGGTCTCTAAAAGTGCAGAAAGAAAATAATACCTTGTTGACGGCGAGCTTTCAAATTGTTTTGTTCTTTCAAATATATCGTAAAATGATATTCTGATTATTACTTGCGTTTGTTTCTCTGGTTATTAACGGGCTTTCGCCACTAAACTTATTGTCTTTAAATTTAGTTTTCAAGAAGTGGACATTTTGACATTGTTTAATGGACTATGTCAAAAATATAGTGGAACCGGTTCTGAGTCACTTTTGGCGGAGAAATTTTCAGGTTCCCTCTGAACTCGCGATTACATAAAATTCTACATTTTTAGGAAGACCAAGTCCAACGGTATCGTGGTTTATCAATGACCGTCTCGTGGAAGGTCAATTGGAAGCCATTGGTAATCACGTCGTCGTAAACCGATTGGAAGTCAAAGGAATTGGCAGAGAGAGGTTAAACTCTACCTACAAATGTCAGGCCAGCAATACCAAACTTATGATGCCTGCCGAAAAAACGGTCAGACTGGAATTGTTACGTAAGTGGAATTATTTGCAACTGCATTTATGGATATTTTTAATATTTCTCAATTTGTATGGTTGCAGTTCGGCCGATGAGCGTGGTAATTCCCATAAAACCAGAACAGTTAGTTTCTGGTCAGGAGATAACGATTAGATGTGAATTATTTGGATCCAGACCAAAGGCGATTGTAACGTGGACTAGAGACAACAGACCTTTCAGAAGAGGAAAAGCAAGTTTTAATAAAATATTTTAATTAATAATATTAAATAGAAATATATTTTGCAACAAGTTTGTACTTGAAGTAACTAGAAGTACAAATTTAAATATCTGTATTCTTCGGAATATTTCTCACAGTTTTCCAAATTAAGCAAAACACCAAACCTGATTGGTGGATTTTTTAAGAATATATTGACAGTGTTGCCATTATTAGTGTTTCCAAAACTTGGCTGTGGTATATATACAATAACACCCAATTTCTGTTTTCACTTTACTTTGGATTTTCTGTTTTCTTTCTATCACTTAATTATTTGAAGTTTCATCTTTTACATCAAAACACCCTTTATCGAAAAGAATCTAGAATCTTAATTTTTGATCAGAAGGATAATTTAAAAAATGCTGCTTTTATTTCGGTACTTTGGGTATTCGGTTTTTTCTCCTAAACAAATTGAAACTAAATACAAAACATCAAATTAAAACTTTGCAATATCAGTACTATGTTTGATTGTGCTCAAAAGATTGTCTTTCAAAGCCTTCTAGGTAAATTTAAAGATATCAAGTGATTAAAGGGATTTATTTAACTAGTATATTTATTTTTCTACATCCACTGAGGTGAAATTAAACATATATGTATAGGGTGTCTCCTAGATTTCGACATCAAAATTTGCTTTAAATTTAAATTATGAAATAAAAGGATTAAACCTGGCTTTGTAGTTCCATAATAAAGACTCACGTACCTGAAATAAATAGCAAAATGCTTTAACAACTAAATAAGTCGGTGCTGACACTCTATTTCGAATAAGAATTCAAAAAAAAACACAGAGCAAGTACAGATATGACCAAAAATCTAAAAGAAAAAATTTCGTTTAAAAAGTACACGAAGATACTGCCTTCTGATTACCTCGGCATCGCTAGAAAATTAACTTATACCGAAATTAAGTGGGAAGGCTACAGCAACATTTCCCGCTTCAAAGATAATCCGCCGATGTATTTATTTTTGTTGTTACAGTTTCTCGACGAGGGCACGAACGACACGTTGGTCTTGCACTCCGTGACGTTCGTTCCGGTCCCGGAAGACGACGGGACGATTTTAAAATGCATCGGAGAAAATCCCAAATTGCCTGACAGCAGCCTGGAAGATTCGTTTAGATTAAACGTCGTCTGTAAGTTGCTTATTACAAATGGACTGGAGCGGACTGCGAGCCTGTTCGCATTCATAGTCTCGACATTTTTCTAGCTTATTTTCGTTGTTATACAGGGTTACTCACGTTTTTTAACACGACGTATTATGCCAAAGAATTCTGCTTTTAATAAGGTATCTGTTTTTGGAAGGATGGAAACTTCCTTTCTGACTAAGGCTGCATTTTGAAAGTATTTTGATGTTATACAGGATATCCGGAAACGTATCAAATTAGTGTTTTTATTTATTATTTCATTTTTGATTTGTGTGATCAAATTTTTCAAAGGCTACTATAATTACTATTTATATATATTTTGGATTCCTCCTGCATCCGTTGTTGATAAATCAAACTTCTATCAAATAAATCAACAGCCACTGGGATCAATAGGTCGATGTTTATTTTACACTCCTAAGAAAAATCTATGTAATAAATAACATAAACTTTGATCATCGGTCTAACTTCCAGTCACAAGAGAATCTAAAAAATCAAGATTTTACTCGAAATTGAATTAGGAACTCTAAACTTTACTAGGCCGGCCGGTGGTATATTGTTTATGTGTTTATAGTTTACAAATGGCATACATGACCCAACCTTCTCTCGGTGGAGATTTATGCTTCATTATCATTTCCTCGTAGAGCTTTCTCCAAATTTCTGACTGCTTTATCCTTAATTGATGGCTGTATTGCCGTGAAATTCTTTTCTAGTTTTTTCGTTGGAACCTTTTCTTCTTTAACTTTTTTCTCATTTCGCATTTTCTATTTTGCCTCCAATTAAATTTTTATCTATGGGGTGGATAAAAAGTGAGAATGTCTTTTATTCTGTCGTCACAAGAGTAGCTGCAGAAGTACATCTTCTGTTGGGGTTTCACAAGTATCGTATTTTCAAAATTATCTTTAGTCAGGATCAGTTGTTCAGTTCAGTCATTGCAAAAAGTTCTTCAACCTCGTATTGCCTTATGCGTTTACCGGGATTATTGGCCATGAAGAGCTTACATTCTTTATTGTATGGCACTTTCAGTGGAACGAAAAATGTAAGATCCAGTGCTTGAATGTTGTGAGAAATATGGGGTGGCAAAGAAAGAACTTACAGGTGTGTTTTCGGAAAAGCTCGTATGCTCAAAAACTGATATGACTTTCGTAATTGTCGAGAATTAATAATACTGGTTCTTCCTTGGTAGGTTTCACAAAAGAAATGAAGTGTCGTAAGTAGTCTAGAAAGATGGTCGCGTTTATCCAACTAGAATCAGAAACCGTGGCAATAATTCCGCTACTACAACCTTTAAGTAATAGTTCATTCATCCTCGTTCTGTTGAAGATAAAAATTGAAGGTACATGCGCTGACACATCTATTGTTGTTGTGATACCACGATCACCGCTTGTCGCTTTCGCTATTGCTATTTGTTTTAAACTCTTTGGAGAATCTTGTTTGTTTTTTTGAATTGTACTAAGGAACAGATTTACTTCATTGGCGTTAAATGCAATTATTCTATTAAGTGAAGTAGCTTCTGAAGCCCGCAAACTGATAGAAGCATGGCATGACATAAAACCATATTACCAGTTTTTGCCTGCCAGTTTATTAAAATTGTGCTTCAGTTTGTTAGCTTCAGCAAAATGGAAAACAGTTTTACGTAACGAGTTTGGTGTGATGCCATAAAAAGACTTTCCTTATTAAACACAGTGTACCGAGCATTTTTTGGCGTGTTGAATTCATTTTGTCTGATTTAAATCATTTTGTTTTTGGTGCAGAGTATTTGGTGGCTGCTTGGCGGCCCAATGTGAGACTTTTGCTTTTGACATCTTCGACTTCGTGACGAAGCTCTTCAGTTGGTGTTTTGATACAGTCTGTCGTATATATTTTTGAGGCATCTAGAACAATTTACAACGTTAATATTTACCAATTCTTTAATTTTCAAAATTTTTTCTTATTATATATATCTGAGAGCAAATAGTACGTTCATTATAGAAACGGAAAATTATAACAATAATGTAAAAAAAGTTGTTTGACTTACTATGTCTGCACTGGTGCCGCTTTCCACTCTTTCTATCGTGTACATACTGGAAGGCGCGGGTTACATCCTTTGAACCAAATAACTGTTCGCAATTACCCCCCGCCTTTAATTTCTCCGCTCTCCCCTACTCATTTTTCTTGTGCGAGATATAAAATGTACTCCCGACAAAAAAAACGGCACCTAAATTTTTGATTTTATTGCAATGATTTTTTCGCTGAACAACAGGTCAATTCTTTAAGATGGCCCCTTGTGATAAAAGTAGTCAAAAGAATAAGTCAAAATAATGTTTTGGTCTTAACTTAGTTTTTAATAAAGCTGGATGTGTTTCTAGCAGTTTGTTTTAGGAGTTACACATCTTTAACCGAAATTAAAACGAAAGTTAATAACGGGTGTGTCCACCTTTAATCGCAATGACAGCTTGCATTCTTCGTGGCATCGAATCAATCAGATTTATTGTTCTTCAGGAATCGTTTCATATTCTTCAATTAATGGTAACCTGAACTGTGCTAAAGTTATAGGCTTGTTGAGACGGCAGCGAACGCGTCTTTTTAACGCACCCCAAAAAATGGTCAATCGGATTGAAATCTGGGCTACAGAGTGATCATTCTAACCTGCGAATTCGAACTTCATTTACTCATCTACTACACGTGCTACACCCGGTCTGGCATTATATTGGATGAAAAATACTAAAAATAGTAACATCTAGCTAACTTGATTATTTTGCTCTGATTGTTTTTACTGGAAATGCTGCGTTTCAATTGAAAATGCGTAGCTCCTAAAGTAAAGAACATAGCCCCATCATGTAAAAAACAAACTGCTAGGAACATATCCCGCTTTATTGCAAACTATGTTTGAAGAATGTTGTTTTGTGTAATTTTCCCGCAGAGTGTTTTAAACTTGAGATTAAAAACATCATTTTGATTTATCCTGGTATATAAACATTGGAGCAACGAAAATTTCATCAGAAGCAACTGAATCGCAGTCTTAAAAATTAGTAATAAAGTCAAATATAAAACAGTTATGTCTTGTTAAAATTATTACAAAAAGTTAGTTGCCGTTTTTTTGTCGATGAGTATTCAGGGTGTCCAAAGAGTGTGTCAAAGTATATAATAATAATACATTTATTATTAGTTTTGAGAGACAAATGTTTAATATCTAAGTTATAGATAAGACTAAAAAAAACAATTTAAAATTATGTTTAAATATACATGGAGAATCAAACTTTTATTTTTTAAATCGAACACCCTATATATTATTGCATTATACTCAGTCACCCAATGTGGGGTTGTTATGGTCTATACCGAGTGTTTTTGGTTTAATGGCCATTTTTACTTCAAAAATTATCTGTGTTAAAAAAAAGTAGATCTTAACATTAATTCCAAGCAAACAAAACACATGACCAATCTAGTTCCAAGTGAAAATATGAAAATAGACGAATACATGAGATTAGAATAGGTAAAGATAATCAAATTTGCGAGAGGCTTGGGATGGGCGGAATTTGGTAAATTGCAACATATTCTGATAGGGACCTTGCCGATATGCTTAAAGAAAAAGGTCTACAACCAATGCATTTTGCCAGTGATCACATACTGCTCGGAAACGCTTACGGTAACTAAAAAGTCCGTAGATAAGTTGAGAGTAAATCAAAGAAAAATGAAACGAACAATACTGGGAATTACAGGAAACCACATGGTACCAAACAGGCTAGTGAGACAAAACACTAAAATAACAGAAGTAATCAAAAAATTGCTCAAGGCAAATGGAAATGGACTGATTATATACCGCGCTTGAGCGACAATCGGTGGACCAAAAGATTGATAGAATGGAGACCCAGAGAAAATAACAGAATCGGGGTAGATTTGTTTGATTTTCCACACATTTATGAATCACCCTGTACATTTTAAAATAATTTTAAATTGTTTCTTTTAGTCTTATCTATAACTTTTGTATATAACATTTTTCTCTAAAATAAATTATAGAAGATATATTTTTGACACACTGTTTGGACATCCTGTATGTACACACACACAATGTATAGGGCACTTACAAAGTATTTGTTAAAAGGCGATCAGAATATATAAAAGAAATAGCAAAAGCAAAAATTTTTCTCATTGCTTTATGTTTCGTTTTAACGGTATTCAACTATTCTTCTTTATATTTTAATTTAATTTTTCCGTTCGCTGTTTTATTTCACTATTTTTGAAAATATGTATTTGTGTTTATCTAACGTATATAGTTTTGGTTGGGTTTGATTAGTAGTCGTGAAATCATTTTAGTTAGTAGCCGATTATTTAATTAATTCGAGGTCCTTCGAGGAATAAAAACGTCGTTATTTTAATATTAACCCTTTTCTACCTTCTCACCGATATAACTGTTAAATAATTTAGTGGCCCTACCACGGTAAAAAATTAAGTTAGAGAACATTTTCCGCGCATGCCTCTACACCCCTTATCTTGCAGTTTGCGCCATTTTCTCTCTAAATAGCGATTTAACTCGTTTTACGAGAACATCAAACAAGATCTAGACAGAATACTGCAGCAAAAATGGCGCATCCAACCTTATGGACGATCTGTCAGTGGCCATCTTGGTTGGCGAACACCGCAAGGTCATTGGTTAAAAACGAAATTTTTAATTTCGCACATGCGTATGTTGAATCAATTTTTTTTGTGTATATATCTAGTGGCTATATGTTCTCACCTTAACCACTTCTAGTCCACTAAGAAACTTCCATGAACGCACATGTAAGCAGATTTATTCAAGTTATCTCATTACGCGCTGAGTTGGGCGGGTTTTCAAATTTCTTCTGTAAGTGGATGAGGGTGGCCTACACTATAGCAGGCCTACTGGTATAATTGGCTTTACATGAGAAAACAGTATCAGTTTTAGGTAAACTTTTAAATAAAATTTATAAACCACTTCGTCCTATTGTTTCTTCCATTCAATTTCCTTTTTTGGATTATCTAAATACATATCCAACTGTCTTTCTAAAATAGGGAGAAAAAAAAATCCTTTTATTTTTACACAATTTATAGACAAAATTATATACTTGTGTCATTATTCAATCGCATTTCTAATTAAATTAACAATACTTCACTTTGATTAAAAGCTTTTATAAAAGCAGTTCATACAACATTAAAAAATAAGTGTCATTATTCAATCACATTTCTAATTAAATTAACAATACTTCACTTTGATTAAAAGCTTTTATAAAAGCAGTTCATACAACATTAAAAAATAATTATTTTCAATATCAAGAAAACTTTTACCAACAATTAAATGGATGTGCAATGGGCCCACCAATTTTATCAACACTGTCTCAACTTGTGATGAAATATTTGAAATAAAATTATTAAAAAACGTTTTGTTGATGACTGAATATGATATCGCAGTGTGTCACAAATCTGCCAAAATAATAATATCAATTTTTACTCAATTAAAGAGTAAGACTCCAGTTAAAAAGAAATAAAATGTTGTACATCCAATTGTCATAAATGGATTAACATGATCCCTAACAGGAGGAAGGAAACACCGAAATTAAAATAATAACGAAATGTTTAATGTTTAACAACTTAATGGCCTACTAATAAAAAACATACTATGCTGGGCATTTGAGACAGCTCATAAGAATCGTAATAAAATGATTTACGATGCAGTACTTTTGCGGCACTTTTCTTTTAATAAAATGGGTCACGGTAGCTGGAAACACGCTAGCTTTATTAATCCGTGAAATCGTCAAAAAATATTACATACCGCCAAATATTTGGCGGAAAAACAATTTGGGGGTTGCGAAACCGTCGCCCGCGGATCTGGCAGGTCGTTTCCCTAATTGTGTCGATACATTTCAATTTGCTGTAGGCGCCCTCGCGTTTAAATTAAAATATTCCGTAAGAATTATTACCGCTTCTACGGCGCGCTTTGTGGCATTTTTGCTTGACTTATATCTCCCGCGTTCGCATGAAAAATAGAAACAAATATTTCATGTGCAAATATTAACTCTCATATGGTAAAGAATTTAAAATATTCAATTTAAATTTGTTGACATGTAATTTGATTTTAACGGCCATCAATGACGCTAAGTTATAGACAACCGAATTGTTTGTATGCTCATAAAAATGAAGATGTTTGTTAAAACAAAGCACTGAATAAAATTTGAACGTCGCTTGCAGGATCTTCCTAAATTAGAAATTTTCTGTATCAAGATATGTCGAGAAACAGGCCCTGAAAATGGTATTTCATTAATATTCCCGAAACATGTTGAGGGATATTTTTGAAATTTTAGCTTTTAATTAATAATAATTGTCAAATTTTGGTCAGTGACGTAACATTTATCGGTGCTGTTTAGCATGCCAATCTTTTCGCCTATTGTTATTCATTCACCAACACTGAAAAATTATATGCATACATTCTACAGAATTGAAATTATCAACTGAGAAATTACCATCCCTTGACTTTATAATAAACGGGTCCTTTAATGATCGTACATGTTGATGTTCCGTCTGAGCCGTTTTTGGACCCTAGAATAGTGCGCCCACCCTCAACGGTGCCAACAGTTGTGAAATACCCATTGTATTACGTAGGAACTTTCAAGTCAAAGAAAATAAAAACCATTGAGAATCGGAGGCGTTTCTACTCCGCGTCGCCGATTTTTTTCGTCCCGTCCCCACCACCTCGTATACGCGACCGCTTTTTATTTAATAAAAGTCGCCATCAATCATCCCCTTAAATGTCTCCCCCCGTTTTTGCGAGGCGCTTATTTATTGGCCACGCCGTGTCTGTTTTAGATCCGCCGCAAGTGACTCTCCATTTAGGCAGCACCCTCAACCCCGAGGACATAAAAGAAGGCGACGATGTTTATTTCGAGTGCAACATTAAGGCCAACCCCAAACAGCACAAAATTACCTGGTATCACGGCGTAAGTATCCGCTCTCTGTTTTTACGTTTTTGGCGGCCCTAAGCGTCCCGCCGAACGCGCCCGAATTTGAGGGGTATTTAATAATGATCGCCCGGAACATTTCCGGGAATGTTCCTTTTATGAAATGAATAAATGCATGACGTGTTCCCGATTACGAGGACGATGGCGTGGAGGTCTGACCTTCTGCGTTCGCCAGATCTTTCTTTCCATTTTTTTTTCGTTTACAACAGATGAGAGTCAATGAATCAGGCTATTATTATTTGATTGATATGCTGTGTCCACGACATTTTCTCATATACATTGAGACCCAATAGCTTCACACTCTTTCCTACCGCTTTCCTAACGCTGATCTGAAGTAAGTCGCTATTTTCAAAAGTTGGGTTTCATCTTTGTTTAGCTAGATCTAAAGCAGCAATTGAAGTATCAAAGCTTCAATGATGCCGCTGGATGTAACAAATGTGGTGCCATCGGCAAATCAGGAACATTTGGCAGAAATCATATATAGAACATATATATAGAACCAAAATTGAGCATTGCGAAACCCCACATTTTAGTTCTCTCACTTTTGAACGTTCATTATTAGAAATAACAGTTACCCCCTTCTATCATAATTTTTTGTATATCAAAATATCATAAGATACACTTTGCCAGACCTTTATTAATGCCTTCATCATAGAATGCCCAACCATCAAACCAAACTGGTCCTGACTCAACAAATTGTGTTTCGAAATAAAGCAATGCTAATAGTATCGTAATGGTTGGCGTATTAGGACCGCTGTAGAATTCTATTAATTTGATATTTCGAAGAAAACACTCCCGCTTTCATTAATCAATTAAGTTGCAGTTATCAACACTAGAATTTCTCTAGGGACACACACAGAGTTATTCATAGACTCGTTAACTGCTGTCAACTACAGTAAAGAGAGTCCGGAAGATTTTTTTGTTCCTTATGTTGATTTAAGCAGCCAGACAGCATCAATTACTTTGGAATATTTAAATGATGTGGACATTCCTGTCTTAGAGGGGCCAGCGTTAATGCTTAGGACTGAAGAATACGTAGTCCTGTTCCCATGTCTTTAACTTTAAATGAATTGCAACAATCTCTATTATAGGTTTGGGAACTTATTCTTCAAAAACACATCCGCCATCTGATTTTAGGCATGTCAAGAAAAATGTATTATTTAGCACATGGAGGCAACACCCAAAATATTTTGAAATATCAGAGATTTGGTTGGAGTAACGAACTTTTATATTTTATATCCTACCTTCACACCGCATATACAGAAGCCACTAGTTTGAGATCACCTTTAATGTATGTTTGTTGTTACGTCTATTCAAGAAGTGTACACACATTTTGTTATTATATGTGTATATATCTCTTCGAAATATCACAAAGAATATAAATGAAGCATGTACGACTAATCTCGCTGAGGTAATGCATTTTTTTTCGCTGCTCCTATACTGACTCTCACATCGGATAGAACTTGAAATAATGACCAAATTAGCAGTTTCTAAATCATCGATTCAACTCCATTTGCTGGTGATAGTATCAACTCGACTCCATTATGAAGCTAAAATAATCTCTTAATTTTAATAAATATTGCTGCAGTATTTTTTTTATTCATTTTATTATATTTTTTTAGTTTTTTATTAGTTTTCCCTGTAGCTTGGAAAAACAGAGTCTTAGTCGTTCTAAACTTATATGTCCCCACAAAATTAAAATAGGGCTAACAGGGTTTCTTAAAAACTTATCTTCTTCTGATACCTGTTATCAATCTGTTTTCATTTGATATAGTCAATTTAATATATACTGATGTATAAAGTATCAATTTAGTTCGTACTTCCAATTCACTGTCACTGTCTTGAATAACTATTATTATTATTTAAGTTACTTTAAATGAAAATATTTTGTAATATGTACTACTGTTATTTGAACTCTGACATTCCTTCTCGTCATGCTTTTCTCCTACGCCTATTATTTTGTCTAGTTTGCTTCAATCAAGCAGAGATATAACTATTTTCAGGGGCTACTGGTAAACCAAAACGTATCTTCCGGCATCATCATCAGTACGCATAGTTTGGTCCTCCAAAGTGTTACTAGATGGCAGGGCGGAGCTTACGCATGTTTAGCCGCCAATTCCAGAGGCGAAACAATGAGTGACCCGGTACATTTGAGAGTTAGATGTAAGTTGTTCCTACACCGATGTCCCAGTTCAAAAATATTGCCGTTTCTAGATGCGCCGGTCTGCAGTAAAGATTCGGAGGTTACTGTCATAGGAGCTTCTCTAGACGAAGTGTTGAAAGTGAGGTGCCAAGTGTCGGCGGACCCCTCTGATGTCACTTTTATCTGGCAATTTAATAACAGCGGCGAGAGTTTAGATGTTTCGCCGTCAAGATTCAATACCTACAGCGGTAATATTAGTGAACTAACGTTCTCAGCATCATCGCAGATCGATTACGGTACCCTAACTTGTTGGGGTTCGAATTCCGTGGGACGCCAAGTCGAACCTTGCATATTCCAGGTAAGACCACAGATAAGGGATTAGCAAAACTTGTAAACAAACCGCAGCGCAAGTTCTATCGAAAACGGCACAATGATTTTCCAATTAGGTGGTCCCTGCCTCAAAGCCTTCATCACTATCGAACTGTACACTACGAGGTGCCAACAACCAATCAGCGGACACCGTAGAGGTGCAGTGCAAAGCAGGTTATGACGGTGGAGTGCCCCAACAATTCGTTTTGGAGGCATATGAGGCGCACAGCATGCGATTAAGGATAAACCAAACAAGTAACGGCCTCTATCGAATAGAGACTAATATATCTAAACCGAGCCTTTTCAGTTCTTGATTCAGAAAACCCGGTGTTTCATCTGGATCTGGGGGAACTTTTGCCATCTCCTCCGTCGCTTAGAATAGTTGTGTATGCAGTAAATGCGAAAGGAAAGAGCGAAAAATTGGTTTTGGATGACATCATGCTAAACGATGCCGAAAAGAGAACTGGTAAGTTTTTTTTTTCTAAGAGACTTCACATGCTACTGTACTACTATTTGGAAATCTAGCTGACGTTTCACCAATTATCCTGTTCGCTTCTTCAGAGCTTAACTGAAACTGGTTTGCTTTCCACTTGCAACCTGCTTATATACTGTTTAAGGGGGCGGAGCTAAAGGAGGGGCATGAACATTGTCGTCCATATTGGTGGAAGTGACGGTTAAGATTGTTTGGTTGTTTAGAGATTTCTATATATTCGCGGATTTCCTTTGGTAAAACAATTGATGCAAAAATTTTCTCGATTGTGTTCTCGATTGTGTTGATAAGTTTATTCGTCTTAGCCTTAAGGTTCTTTTATGTTCTTTGAGTGTAGTTGATATTTTTGGTCCTGTTTCTCCTATGTGGTTTTTGCCGCGTAAGCCTGCAATGCTGTAAACTCCTTGTGTCTCAAACGCAATTTTGTTTTTGACGGATCAAAGATGTTGAGAAATTTTTAGACAATTGGTAAATTTAATTCTTACATTATATTTTTTAAGAACTGTCCAACTCCAGTCATTCGGGAGATTCGGTCGACAGTTTCTTGTACACTAAGATTCGGATACTCGAATTTCATGAAATTATCTACCCACTGATAATTGATAATCTTATCGTTGGTGTAAATGTCGTCAACCAAACAAAAGTACTTAAAAAAGGGCTAATTTGTTTTAATTACTCTATCATTAAAGTTTTCTTCAATCCTTTATTCCAACATAAGGTAATAATTATATCAGGTATTGTCACACATGACAAAATTTAGATATTATAGATTTACATTAAAGATAAAAAAATATTTAAATGCAATAGATCTCACATAACCTATAGCGTTATTAGAACTCAAAAAATGCTCGTACTTTTCACTTGCTCGAATGATTAAATTAACCCTTAGCATTACCATTTTATACCATTTTCATCGTAGATGGTAATTCGGGTATGAACTTGGTCCCCTTGGCCGGTCTTCTAACCGGTTCACTTCTGACACTCGGCGTTGCCGTATTGGTGATCGTAGTGGTAGCGGTGAGAAGAAAACGTCACTGCGACGGAAGTAACTACTGCCCTCATCACATAACCCTCGACGCATCGAAGCAAAACTCAAAGACTGAACAGGGATCCATGTTAGAGATAAATACAGGTTAGTCGTATTCGATAACTTTTGTATTTAACCATCCAATATCCCTTTTAATTCCTAAATTAGACAGCATAGTTCACTAATACTGAATTCGTTAAGATCTTCAAAATTTTAAATTTGTTTTTAAAGTTGCTTGTATCCAATAAATAAATACAATAATTACTACTATACATAAAAATTTCATCGTCTCTTCAGACTGTCCCATACTTAGTTTCAATAGTTTCTTAATTATCTTGATTAATACATTTTACAAAACTTCTGGACTCCTTCTGCGTAGGTTTTTGTTGAGTCGAGCTTGCTAACGTTTCGCCAATCATCCTGTTGGCTTCTTCAGAGCTCAACTGAAATAGTTTCGGTGAAATAGTTTCAGTTCGACTCAATCAAACCGACGCAGAAGGAGTCCAGAAGTTTTGTAAAAATGATTACAGTAGCCTGAGGAGTTTTTATGAAAAAAAAATATCTTGAATAACGTAAAAATTTTGAAAGACGTAAAAAGAAATGCCATATGTAAGCAATAAATTAAATTATTTCGTGATAGGTAAACCGCAAAGCAATTTTGTTGTACAGCATGAATTACTAAAAAAAAATACAATTTAAGTAGTTGTAAATATTTAGCGGAATTACGGTGTACACTCTTCAATCTGCGGTTTACTCTTGGTTTAACTTCATTTTATATTTCTTTTTTCTTGTGATCGCAGGTTTTTATGTTTTTCGTTGTTTTTTTTTTACGTCCTAAATTCAATTTTTCTATTTTTATTTCATGTGCTAATTGTAGTTCATAAAAAAAAATATGTTCCAGTATATAAGGACAAACATAAGATAACATAACCATTTTTCAAGTTTTGCATACTTTTCTTGGAATAAATGAGTTGCCAAATTTTGAATTGAATTTCTTGAGCTTCCTTGTATAGCATAAGTGTTTATCATCAGTTAAAAATGGCCAAAGGAAATAATTGTAATCCAAAATTTACGCTCCCCAGATGAAAAACCTAAAATCTTACATCAGCTGATGTAAGTGGTCAGTTCTAAATTATCCAACTCTTTTGACGTTAATAAAACCAAAAACATTTCAAACTTTGTGAAAATCATGGCTAACTAGAAGGAACTTTCGGTTTTGATTGACTTTTGTGAATAAATATGAAATGACAAGATAACCTTTGATGATAGGTAAAATTTTAGACTGTACTATGTAATAATATATACGGTGTCGTATATAAACCATTAAAACCTTTTGTATTTAATGCTGTTTGCGCTATCTCTACAAGGAATCTGGTGGAGAGGTGTTCCTAAATTTGCGTCATAACTATTTGATGATGAAAATCTGAACAACGTTTGTTCTTATTTAACTAACTAAGATGGTAAATTTTCTTATTTAACCGTCGTCATTCTGAAAGATTCGACCTCATCCCTCAAACCGTGGCGTAAAACTGTAAACTTTGCAAAATACGACAAAGACCACATACAAATATTTTAACATAGAATTGACAATATTTAGTCACACACATTATTTGTAAAATGTATATATTATGAAAAATTAATGTCTGTTCAAAATTTCACAAATTTCCATGAGCGTTTTCTCAAGTTAACAAAAATAACTTTTAGTCGAAAGGAAGAGGAATTACTCAATTTAAATCTTAAATACTCTAGCTACAGGGTCTGAGAAGTCTACCAACATTTCTGACAAAAATATCTTGTAATCTGAAATAATCAGTCTACCTAATTCCAAATCACATAACAACTTTAGCTTCAGTCGTTTCTAACGCGCTCACCTTAGCTGTTTTCCAGGGCTCCAAGCGCATGGGTGTCGTACGCACGGTGGAAATTGGAACGGTAACCAGCCTGTCCATGATTTGACAGTTGTCAAAAGTGGTTTTGATAGAATTTTCGCCGACGGGTTTAGATAAAATTCACTTCAAATTTCCTTTCATATCCATATTAAACGGTGGTGAATACTCTCTCTTATTTTTTAAATAAAACCCTAACCTTAAAATAACATTTGAGCTTGAAACACCGCGTAAAAGGCTGGTGCTTAAGGGGAAAGGGGAAAGCACTTTTGGGTTTAAAACCCAAAGCTGAAATTGGAAGTCTGGAACACGTGTTTGAAGCAGATAGGCGCGCAAGCGCTCGATTTCGTACGCAAAACCGCCGGCTGGAAAACAGCTCTTGTGGTCTCCAAAGCTGACAAGGGCTGTGGTCTGGTTATAATATAAGAGGGAGACATACGTCGATAAGGTTATAAACTTTTTGGCAATGGATGATTTTTATCAGATTAACTAGAAACTACTAATTTTTTGTTTTACAGAATAAAAAACCATTTAGATAAATATTTATTAACGCTTGAATTTTTCAACTTATAAACTTATAAAGAAACTTTATATCCTATGAATCCCTAAACACTTTTATTATATGGACTTCCTAAGACACATAAAGAGGGGATCCCCATTCGACCCGTAGCGTCGGGTTCACCATGTTACAATCAAGCTTCATGGTTTAATATAGTTCTTAGAAATACAACTGGCTTTCAGAGCATTTATTCTACCAAAAATTTAGTGCAGTTGACGAATTACTTGAAGAATATTGACATTCCAGTCAATGTTATTTCAAGTGAAATTGATGTCAAAAATTTATTCGCAATTGTTCCACCACTTGAGTGCATTGATTTAGTGAGCTCTTTATTGAAAGGCACCACTTTGTCAAAAATTGTCGTCAATGGTCTAAGTCTTCTTTTGACGACTGCGTGAGAACAAAATTTCGAAAACGAATTTTTTAGACAAATCACTGGACTATCAATGAGTTCTTGCCTCTCACCTTTTTTAAGTGAAATTTTCATGAACAATCTTGATAGAAAAGTTGTGGATAGTCAATTCTCCACATAGTTAATAACTAACAAAAGATATGCGAACTTTACTTGCATTGTCCGGAATGGCAGCCAACAAACGCCTATCGAATTCCTAACGTTTACCAATTCCTTACATGACAAAATTTATTTTATGTTTTAAAAGGAAGTCGCGGGTACCTTCCCTTTTCTTAATCTTCTATGAGCTAGGAAAAGCTGAATGAATTGAATCCGAGATTTTTGATACAATTTTCCACCAACTCGCAACTTTTCTTATTTCATTTTTTAGATTTCGATAAAATCAAACGGATTCGGTCTCATTCCAATTTGTGTCTGTGTGCGGTTGAGTCTTTATATGTGCGTGTTCTTAATTCATGTAAATTATTTTATTATTTCAAAAAATTGCTTTTATAGGTCTGATGATGCTCGTGTCGGCAAAACACGTGTAACATTTTTAAAATAATAATTTTTGAAGCATCGACTTCGGAGTTTAATTGAATGCTTATAGCCTACTAAAATGCCTTAAGCTTTTTTGGAGATATAGACATTTATTTAAGAAAATATTCGAACACCCTCCATATTTTCCTTCTAGAAATGGAGCAAAAAACATTTAGCAAAACGATTGAATTTGTCTCAGCTTTAAAATAGTACGCACTTCGGTTAACATTGGAAATTTTTGTAGAAACCGACTTTTAAAATGCAACAAAATAATTACTCCCCCTGGTGGCTTTGCCAACTTTACTATTGAAACTTTCCTAACATTGAAATATTATTTGTCGCCATTAGTAAATAAATTACAGGTGACAATCGATACGTGGTGGCCTACACACTAAAGCCAACGAATCCAGCCTATTCCCATTCGAACTCTGCCCAAGATAGTATGATTTTAACTCCCGACTCGCACAGCCAGCCCGACATACTCAACACTCCCAGAGGTGAGTGTCTGTGTCGTTGTCATCACGGTCGTCATCATCAACACTGTCAGAATCATCAGACTCATTTTAATACATTCCAACATTTCGACAATGTTTAGTGCACCTTAGGATATCGAACAGTGACATTTAATTCTAAAAGTCCAAATAAAATGTAATTATGAAATTATTACTCTACAGCTTTAGTTGGACCAGCTAATTTTCTGGCGACGGAGTCCCTGCAAACAGGGAAAACAACATTTTTACTTCCTTTGCTATGAAAAAAATTATGCTATATTTTTAAATACGTTTTATTTGGTAAATTGTGATTAAAATTACATATATGGTATTCCAAGTAGCCAGGCTAAATGAACTATTTTAGTTGGAGGCACTATATATTAAAGTAGCAATAATATAACTTGCTTATGGACACAAACAATAAGTACTGCACAAACAAATCAAACTGATTGTGATAGAGGAATGTTATTTATATACTTTTCGTTAAATTTTATTTTTTATACCTATATCGGTTTTGTATATATCCATGTAATATTTTTATTTACTTAATAAAATATTTTGACAGTTTTGTTGTTTTAATTTTTGTTTTATGATTTCGTGATATCTTAACCGTATTTTTTACCGAAAAAAAAAGGATAAACCATAGCAAATAGTATTGCGAGAACAAATGTTTACGTTTTATTTATTTTTTTTAAATTAGATAAATTGGACAGCATGCAATTGTGGGTGCGTCTCAAATTCGTAGTACCCTATAGGATATCTTGAGAACCATTCTACTCTACTTGTTTATGAACAATTTAATAACCCAGCTCGTATTTATATATTTTCACAATTTGGGAAGCTACATTACATTTTTGAGGGTACCTGATGGTCTCATAAAATACTTACTCAATCATTGCAAGTGCACAAAAAGTTTAGTTTAGCGTTTTTAATTAATATCCTTACCAACTGTTAAAAATATGTGTATTTCTAGTCGGTTAATAATTTTCAAAGATATGGCGAATGCGCAAGTCAGAAAAATTAGCGCAAATTTTTTTTTATACCTATACTGATATATTTTTGTGTAAAAAAGTTATGTAAATAGAGAATATAATAACCTATTCGTTTTAAAAAAGTAAATGGCAATTTAGAAAGAATCGATAAAGAGATGAAAACAATTTTTGATTCTCTGATCAAATCTAAACACAATTGTATTTTAAAGTGTCTTAATTAGTGGGTGAAGCAATAAGGTAATTTTGCTAAAGATTGTATAAACAAATATTAAATAAAATATAAAATTTGTAAAGAGACCAAATTACCAAATTACATACATAAATATCTTTGTGGATCTTGGTGATCCTGTGAGGTGGGCCAATGAGAAGTACATTTTAACTTTACTAGACGACTATAGCCGATTCCGAAAAATGTACTTATTCGAGTTTAAAAATGAAACAAGTTGCCTTATTGCTGAAACGGAAGCAAGCTTGAATTTAAAAGACACGAAACTTGGACATAATAACAGCAGTTACTATGTAATTAGTAAATTGATAAAATTTTATATGCACACAGCAATTCCTGATACCCCACATCTAAACTGTAAGGCGGAAAGATTAAATCGCACCTTGTCAACCTTGTAAACGAAATAAAACACGCTTCGAGACGTTGTGTTAAATAAGTAAGAAATGCAGATTTGTAGAACATAGCCCTAATATATATATATATATATATATATATATATATATATATATATATATATATATATATATATATATATATATATATATATATATATATATAGGTTATTTTCAGTAGAAAATCAGAAACACATCATGACATATTGTTTTTAAAATGTAAAACCAAAATCAGAGAATAACCCAGTAAAAGTAAAATCACAAGAAGTTGCATAAAGTTTAGTTGAAAAAAACTGAACCTGAAAAAGAAGCTTTCAGTCCTGTATTAAATGTGGACGCGTTAGTCTTACTGTTTGGAACAGCTTTCAGTAAAAACTATTTCATAAGGAAGTTTGATTTAAAAACTGACTATTCCAATTGCAATCAAAATAAAAAACATAAACATTTCTTGGCCAATGCCAAATTTAGATTGTCCTGGTATAATTACGAAATAAATATCAATAACTTCTTGAAGTCGAACACAGAAGCCATCGCATAGTTGCGATTTCAATGTTTTGAAAAAAAAAACACGCAATAAATCGAACACTCCTACTTGTGGAAAAAGCATTTAGCTGCAATATTGCAATCTGCAATATGATTTATGATATGATTTACACTTAAACACCATCGTTATAGTTTGTCTTATTTTGTTTCCACTCCATACTTTATAATTTTGAATTTCATGTGCACGCATAGGCAATATTCAATGATATTGAATGGATGGATATTCACCGATATTGACATTTTAAATATATTTTTCTACTCCCTTCTGTAAAATACCTAATTACCCACCTATCTAGCGTGCGGGAAGCGTCACTTTACCACGTCAATTTCGTTTCCCACGAATCCGAGCCATTTCGTACATTTCCGAGATTTTACCGCACTGATTTGGGAGCGATCGGATGTTTTCGGAGATATTTCCCAGGCTTTGAATTTTGACGTTTGTCAATTCTGATGGTAATGTCAATGAATGGATTTATGTTGTTTTGCGAAAATGTACCCAAAAACTAACGATCGTAGAAAAAGTATAGTATGCAACAAGTTAAGGTTTTCAAACGAAGGATCTCGTTTTTAAAAAACACTTTTTTATTTTGCAAACAGAACTACGAGGTTTTCTTTAACCTGCTACAAGGAGAACTGGACGCAAAGCACAGAGTTGTTATATATATAAAGTTTTTATGCAAGCGTCGCGTCGCAGATACCGGATATACTGAAGCTAGCATTTCATCAGCATTTTCTATCACATAATTCCTCCCTCCGAAGTGGAAAACAACAGGGACGAAGGGTTGTTTTCGGAAGACTGGTCGTTCTTGGTTTTCTTGGAATCTTGCAGCAAATGGCTCTTGTAGATTTTCCATGCTATAACTATTAACAAGATTAAAATAAACATCATTCCTGTTGAAGTGGCGAGACTCCAAGTGACTGGATGAATTTCATAACCAATGTCGGGGATCGATGATTTCGCAGCTTCTCGTAGTTTTTTGATCGTATTGAGATCAATCGATTGTAGTTGGAGTGGCTGGTACTTCACATCGTGATGTTCCATATTTTCAATTTTAATGGGTGGCAGCGAGAATGGGTTTGCTTTAAAAATTTCTTCTTTATTCCAAAGCTCGGTATTTTAGGTACTTATACCACAATTATATGGAACATTGATTAGGCAGGCTTCTTCAATAAAAGCTATTTCTTTGTTTTGACAATTCATTTGTAATTTAAGTTTCTGTTCCGATGGTATTATCAAAACAAATCTACTAGTGATTGGTCGTATTATATGCGTTGAAACATTTACATTGACTACGTGGCAATTTTTGTTTTCGGCATATTTAATGAGGGTTGTCACACAATCACCGATGGGCTGGGTAAGTTGATTTTCGCAAACGTAGGTGTCTTCAATGATTGGGCAGATTGATTCTTGATATTGTTGCATGTCAGTGCCCAATATTAGGTAGGGTGAATTAGGTATAATTAAGGAGTGATTCACAGGTACTGGGAACAGGTGGAATATTTCAAAAATATCTTTAAGAAAAATCGGAATATGGACGGCAAAAATTATTTTATCTTTTGTAAATTTAACTTGTAAGTTTGCTAACTGATAATAATTATTTTGATTTTCAAAAATTAGAATTTGATTATCACCATAGAGAACAGTCAATTTAAAAATTATTTGTTCTAATTCAGCCGCCGATATTACTACAGGATGTAATGTGTTTAATTTCGCAAATGTAATGGCATTTTCTAAATTATCCAAAAAAGTTATAAAACTTTGGCAATTTAGAATAATTTGCATTAGTGTATTTTGAGCTTTAATGAAAGTAGTTATGTCAGTAATAGTTTTATTTGAATTATATTCAAAAATGTCTATATGTTTTTTAATAGCTTCTTGATTTTTCTGTAGAAGTGTTATAGTATCATTATAGTTGTCAATCAGCTGTTGAATCAACGAGGTTTGCTTTTTTAGTTGGATGTCAGATGAATGTTTACTACGCACAAGTTCTGTGATAATTTTATCGTATTTTTGTCCATCCTCTGAATCGAGAGTGCCAAAAAGCCATTTCGATAATTTACCTACAACATTTATTAAACCTCTTTTTGTACGGTTATTAGGTTTTATGTTACCAAGTTTAAATTTTACTTGAGTAATTAAATATCGAACATTATTAAGTAAATTATTTCCATTAATATAGTGTACATTCTGATAATTATGTTTATTTGTATAGTTTAATGATTTTGAGATTACAGCGTAAGCGTATTCTAAATTACGTAATTGATTAAAAAGTTGAGATGTTTCTACAAAATGCAAAAATGTATGTTGATGTTGAATTATTCGAGCATTTCCTAAGCGGAAGGGGAGAAGTGGTGTCTTAATTGGGATAACTTCAATATCATTATTTGCTATCACTAATAACAGCGTAGCTGCAAGAAGGAACAGCGTTGTCCGGTTCATTAACCTGCGAAGAAGAAAAAGCTTTAGGTTTTTGGATCTGAGATTTATGAATTATTTTTTTATTTTTTGTAATAATTTTATTCCCAATATCTTGATCTATAATAACAGGTTTTCTTCGGGGTTTGTCCTTACTACGTTTTGCTGTTTTGTCAGTAACGTAAACCTTTGTATTTTGTTTCATTTCAGGTGGATTTTCTCGTTTTTCGTTTTGTTTTTCATTTAAACGTATTTTTGTTTCTAACGATGTTTCGTAAATTTGTTGATAGATAGTTTTTAGTCTTTCACGTCTATCTGTGATATAATTATTTACAATGATTTCATCCGTTAAATCAAAGGGATCTAAACCGTTTACTTTTCCATTAATAACGTCAAAAGGTTTTTGTTTTGTTACGCTATGCATTGATGAATTATAA